AGATGTAATTTAAAATGGCGTTTAATATTTGTGGCATAATCGCAAATGTTACATTTAAAATCTTTTGAAACGTTGTGTTTTAGCAAATGATTCTTCAAATACCTCTTAGTATTTGTTGCATAATCACAAACATCACATTTAAAATCTTTTGAATCGTTATGTTTTAGTAAATGTTGCTTTAAATTGAACTTCTTATTTGTGGCATAATAACAAACGTCACATTTAAACACTTTTGAAACAATGTGTTTTATGACATGGTGCCTCAAATTCTTCTTCACATTTGATACATAGTCACAGTGTGCACATTTAAAATCTTTAGTATTCGTATGCGTTAAAAGGTGTACTTTAAAAAGTGATTCGTTGTCTGTTGTGTAGTCACAAACCGTACATGTAAAAGTTGCAGTTTCGGATTTAACACTTGAACAATTATCTTCTCCGCGACCACAATATTCTGTCCTCGTCGTCGTGTTCTCATTATATTCTTCTTTTATAGTACCCAAGAAATCATTGCTTACAAAAATGTTTCTTTCAATGGACAAATTTATTTCATCTTCTTGTTTTGGTTCAACTTTAACAAATGTAATTTTGTCATCCATAGCTATCTACGAGATTATTTTTAATTCTTATGACCACAAAAATACAACTTACCTAAGCTTAGAAAGAGAATAAACCACAAATTTTTTGGTGTAGGTTATAGCCTCGATTCGAAATATTTGTTGGTGCTTGAAGGGGTGCTTGTTACCAACACAGTGCACCATACATACATTTTTTTTCTATAACTGTACAGCATAAGACTGGTCACCTTTAAATAAAAAAGGAAAACTTGAATCAAAATGGCGACCTGATATCCACAGAGTGAAGATATCGTGTCAATCATAGGCGTCCATAATAATTTTGGGAAAGGGTTTTTTAAAATGTAGTTTTTGGCGAATTCCTCGTCTAAGTCAACCAACGAAAAGATATCCTACGAGTTCAAAGATCGGTGCTGTTGAATATGACCCGTGACTTAACAAGCTATGACATTTGATCATTGTCATGGGTAACTAGATCGAAAAGCAAATAATTGACGGTATTTGACGTATTTGGGCTATAGTGCATTAAAATCTTTGGAGGGAATTTATAAGCTGTCATATGATGTAATAATATACAGGGTGTTCCACATAATAAAGTTGTCTTATTTTTTAAATTTCAAATTTAGATTCAGTAGGAAAAAATATATACTCTGTATATACGCTGTTTATGAATGCGTTTCTGATAAAGAATAATTTAAATCTGACGTTACTACAAAATTCGATATGCTAAAGAATGGATCTCAAGTAGATTTAAAAGCACTTCCAATCATTTCCGATTTGTGAAGAATAACATTCCGAAGTCTCTTACAGGATTAAATATCATTGTTAATTAGCCGGACCTCCTCCAGTGCAGAAGGTATCTGAAGGTCCTGGACTAAAGTTGTATTTCGACATGAATGCCGCTAAGTGTCTTTACACTTCGGCATCTATCTCTGCACAAGCGAAAATTCACTCAAAAAGAGCAGATTCGTATACAAAAAATTGAAGCCGCTAATCAATCTAAATAAAAAAATGTAACGTCTAAAATGACGTTACACAACCAGATCGGGACGCGCGGTAAGAGCACCGAGGTCTCGTTGGGCGTGCGCAAACCTTGCTTGAAGTTACAGTGCCATAAAATCTTGGTTATAAGGACAAGCCTAGTATGAAGTCCTAAATCCGTAGTGCGAGACCAACGTGTCTAATAAACAATTCTAAAGACTTTCACTTATAAGACTATAAGGTAAACGTGACTCCGTCGCACGGCTCTCGAATTCTGAAAGCCGAACCACACACACGAGGACGGCAAATGAAAATTCACCTATAAAGCTAGTTTTACATCAGCAATAAATTGATCAAGTCGCTTTGGCAAGAAAGCTTTACGGGTGTAAACACAAAATTTGATGCAAAAACTTGATCAATTTCTTGTCGGATTAGTTCTATTTTTCTGGCAATTTTTACGTCAATTCAGTAGTACCAACTACCAGCAACCAACATAAATAATAAAATCAAGATGTTTTGATGATTTTTATGAGCTATAATATCGCGCTCTTTCTTTTTCTATTCCGAATCTTCCATTCAAGACAGAGGGAAACATTTTTACCCTTTTCACTTTTATTTTTACACAATTAAATAAATGACTACCTAACCTTAAAAAAATTAAAGGTTGGTAAAATTGTACAATGTCTTGAAAACCAACAAGAAATTGATCAAGTTGGCAGCAGTGTAAAACCAAGGAACTTAAGCAATAAATTGACAAATAACTTCATGATTTAATTGACGAAGAAATTGTTGATGTAAAACTAGCTTAATATAACACACTCACAGCTTCAAGCCGTTACTATAGTCACAAATGAATTTCAAGCCGACTCGCGTTATAGCGTTTTCGATTGGCAAAACTCGTACTGCACGAGTGTTGCACGAGAAACTGAAGAAATCCATGTGAAAATTGCTCTCAATGAAACATAAATATTCGTAAATATTTGCTGTCATTTGTCCATAACCTCATTTTAGATTTGTATTTATACAATGATTTAGGTAATCGACAAATCTGTATTCTAAAAAATGACTGAAACGATTTCACTATTAGGTATTTATGATAAACAATGAGGAATATAAATTTGAAATTCCTGTAAAGAACCAATCTTTGGCGTTCAATTTAAAGAGTTGTAAAGTAGAAGTTATATGGCTAGTTCCTCATCTTCGCTATTGCTAGATGACAACAAAAAACTCAAGAACAAATTCAAATTGGCGCACTTTTATTTTGAAAATTTGCTCCACGAGCTCTCCGACCTCGTGCGTCAAAATTTGCATTTAGTGCGTAATTGTTGCATCACATTTGCCAATGGAACACAGAAAATTGCCCTAAAATTACCAATAGAACGTAAAAATTGCACTCGTGCAGCACGAGTTTTGCCAATCGAAAACGTTATTAGTATAGCCACTAATGTACGTGCATCACGTAACAACACCACACGAGAAGTATGATTTTAAAGCCGGATTTATAGTTCCGTAGCCGTAAGAACGTAAGAACGGAACCGCAAAGTCTTACGTTAACGAAAATTATACGATTTATAGTTACCGTAGTGGTAAGAGATGAGCTTGCGCATTATTGCGAAACGAATTCTGCCATTGCATGTCATCTGTCAGTAAAAGCCGCTTTACATTAGGCAATTTTAGTGCAATGCAAGGCTTGTGCTATGCAATCTAAAATTGCCTTGCATTGCTTATTACGGTTTTACATTAAAGCCGCTTTACATTAGGCAATTTTCGTGCAATGCAAGAGCAATGCAAGTTAGAGATACGTTACTGCGCATGTTCATACGCAATTCAGGTGCAAGAAAATAAATAGAGAAAGTTCTATTTCACTTGCAAGTTTGGCGCAAGTTCTAGTAACTTTTCTAGTAATTTTGTCAATACCACAATTTATTTGGTTTCGCGTGTGTTATTTTTTTAATAGCAAGCGCCACCATATAACAAGCTGTAGCCAGTTTAATTTCCTTTTGTTTGCTCATACCTAATGGTCAATTTTATTAAGTTTCAAGAATAACCTTCTGTGTAAACAAACTGAAAAGTTTCAATTTTTGCAAAATATGTTGTCAGTACTGCAACACTTTTCTGAACTTGCACAAAAGTTGCAACACAATTGCATAAATGTAAAACCGTAATAAGCAATGCAAGGCAATTTTAGATTGCATAGCACAAGCCTTGCATTGCACTAAAATTGCCTAAAGGCCGCTTGACATGGAGCAATACTACGCGCAAGAACTTGCAGAAAAAAATTGCAAGGTCAAATCCTTGCATGCAATAAGCATTGCATGGTATTTGACATGGTGCAATTCTATTTCAATTGCCACATGTCTGCCAACAGAAGAAACATATGGATTTGTCAACAAAGTTGTTAACCTCAAATGAAAATTAAATTTTGATTGCTTGAAGAAACATGAAAATTACAAGAATAAATAAGATTAGTAAAAACAAGTAATGAGTGCGTCTCTCAGCATCACAGTTGCCGCCGCTGTATTTTACTAGGTTGGTGCCACAAAAACAACTAGATTTATCCCTAGAATTGCACGAATCATGCAAGAAAAATAGCACCGGTCCTATAAAAATTGCATGCAAGTCTCTTGCAGCAATTGATCAGCTGGCTTTGAACTGCGCATGCCTTTCGCAATTTTTCTTGCAACTTGCATGCAATTGCAATTTTTATTGCTCCATGTCAAGCGGGCTTAATGTAAAGCGGCTTGCAATTGTGTTGCAACTTTTGTGCAAGTTCAGAAAAGTGTTGCAGTACTGACAACATATTTTTCAAAAATTGAAACTTTTCAGTTTGTTTACACAGAAGACAAGCGCGTTAGCACGATTTACCATACGAAATAAAGATTTGTGCATTTCCTACGTACCGTAACCGTTCTAACGCAACGTTAACGCGAATTATAAATGTTCACGTGCAACAAGTAGGGATTATTTCCAAACGTTACGGTACGGCGTTGCGGGTACGGAACTATAAATTCAGCTTAATTGAAAACGTTACGGTACGGTATTGCGGATATGGAACTATAAATTCAGCTTTTAAATCCAAACAAGAAGTACCGTTGGCGTATATCGAGACACCGTTTAAACGACAAGTACCGTTGGCGTATATTGAGACACCGCAACAGCAATTCAACAAATTTATTCATTTCAAGGTCAGCAATTCAAATTTTATTCAAGTGGTAAAATGAAAACATAACATGTTAAGTTAATTACGCCAAATTTATGGTGTCAATTATTATCAACTGTTAACTTCCACCAGAAGTCACCATTCACAGTTGTGTCGGCTGAACGTATACCCAATAGGCGAGTAGCGAATATTAGCGAATATTGCACTCCAGCGTCTCCACACAACGACTCTGACATTTCGTGAGGTGAAACAAATCTTTGATCGCATTGTTTACCATGCATGTTAAATAAAAATTCGGCCTTAATGAGTGGTTTGTAGCAATCCGTACGGTTTAAGAGATTAGAGTATAGTTTTTCACGTTTGATTTGTATCTGATTTACTCGTAGAAATTAAGGTTGGGCCAGTTGCGTGTTACATTACAGTGTAGTTACAGCCAGCTGTCTTGCACGAATTTTAAAAATTCAGGCTTCTTTTCTTGTTGCATTATTGTTTAATTGTATTAAATTTCGTTCCTAAATAGAGACGTACGTAAATATTATATGAAACAGTAAAAATAATCAAACGTGCAAATTAGTTCGTAAACACGATTTCTGACAAGAATTGTCTCCAGAAACACCATTTTTAATATATTCTTTGGCGGGTGAAAAGTGGAAAATATCAGGAAACCATCTACACAACAAGAAGGGAGCAAGGGGCCGTTTTACAAGTCATTTAACGCGGGGATCCCTTTTAATAGCTTGATCATAACCTCAAATTGGATTATTGCACAAAAGAAAAATTACAAAAAAACGGCCGTTCTGGAGACGAAACTATGTAAAATAATAGCAAAACAGAGGTGTACTTACACTCTTCTCACTTTCTTTATCCAATTTTCTCTTCTTTGTAACTCATATGGCCTGTTGGGAAAGCTGTAGAATTTTACAGAAGAATCCATATTTATGTACGAATTACCTACTGCATCCAACAACACAACAAGAAACTCTGGACGAACGAAAAGTGTTTTTCGAAGTCATAATTGTTGTTTGATTTGGAGTAAGCTTGTAAATATTAATACAGTAATAAACGGTCGATGAACTTGTTTCACCACATCTTATGTTAAATTCGCCACCAGACGGCGCCATATCGGAATATGCTACTCGCCTATAAATGTTCAAAACAAAATTGCGTTAGCATATCCACCAAGGTACATGTGTCACGTGACTCGTCGTAACAACACCACACCCCCTGTCGTTGTGACAAGTGTTGAGTTGCTTCATCCCTTAATTAATGGGGTAAGGTAAAATTTTCTGTGTAGTTCATTCCTTGATACTCATTCATTCCTTGATACTCATTCATTCCTTACTATTTGTAGTTTATTGTAAGTTCTGCCCATCAAGGTAGTAATAATAATAGGTGGATGATAACAAACCCATCCATTTGGAGCCCTAAGCCCATATCTCTTAAGCTTTATCGTAAAGCTAGTTTGATCACAAAAACGCCTTCGTAGGTAGCCCTCAAAATCATTGTAGTCGCCATGTCCATCGAGGAAGCATTTGTTAAAATCGAACCGAAGCAAGAAGAGGTAAATTCGAGCTTTGAAAAATGTGCGGAACTGACTTCGGTCGCGATAAAAGAAGAATCTAACGAAGTTCCTTTGATCGATGAATTTTACAAGTTAGAGTATGCGGAACAACAAGACGATTGCGGTTTGAAAATTAAATCCCCAAGTGTAAAGGGTGACATTGAATCTGCAGATTTAAAATGTGACAATTGTGATTTTGCGACAACCACAAAAACGTATCTAAAACAACATGCAGTAAAACACAAACTTTCGAAAGACTTGAAGTGTGACCGGTGTGATTATGCTACTAATGTGAAATGCAACCTTGTGCGGCACCTCAGAACTCATACGCATCAAGCCATTCATCGCGTAAGATACAAAGTTTCTAAAGGCTTTAGCTGTGACAAGTGCGATTATGAAACGAAGTGGAAGTGTAACCTTATTAGACACGTCAAAACACACGAACCTGTTAAAGATTTCAAATGTGATATTTGTGGTTATGTAACGGCTTTTAAGTACAAACTTAAGCGACACCGCGTAATACATAACTCCAAAGATTTTAAATGTGACCATTGTCGCTATGCTACCAATAGTGAATATAATCTTAAAAACCACGCTCTTTCGCATACAATATCTAAAGATCTTATATGTGATCATTGCGGTTACGCTACGAATAGTAAAACGGTTTTTAAACGTCACATCCAAACACACGACGTTTCCGAAGATTTTAAATGTAACAATTGCGATTTCGTCACAAAGCAGAAAAGTTATTTGAAAAAGCATCTCATGGTACACAAGGCTTCGAAGGATTTCAAATGTGTTAGTTGTGGTTATGAAACGCCGTTTAAGTACCTACTTATGAGACACCTCGTAATTCATAACTCCAATGATTTTAAATGTGACGATTGTCCCTATGCGACCAATAGCGAATCTAAGCTTAAATATCACGCCCTATCGCATAAGGTGTCTAAAGATTTTGTATGCGAGCATTGCGGTTACGCTACAAATGGTAAGACACTTTTTAGACGTCACCTCCAAACACACGATCTTTCTGAAGATTTTCAGTGCCCTCATTGCGATTTCAGTACGAAGCAGAAAAGTTACCTGAAAAGGCATCTCACTGTACACAAGGCGAAATCGAAAGATTTCAAATGTGATAGTTGTGCCTATGTAACACATTTAAGGTACAAACTTAAGCGACACCGTTTAATACACAACTCCAATGATTTTAAATGTGACAGTTGTCCGTACGCAACCAATAGCGAATCTAAGATGAAATACCACGCCCTCCTATCGCATAAGGTCTCCAAAGATTTTGTATGTGAGCATTGCGGTTACGCTACAAATGGCAAAACGCTTTTTACGCGTCACCTCCAAACACACAATGTTTCTAAAAATCTCAAATGCTCCAAATGCGATTTCACTACAAATCTGAAAAGCTATCTGAAAAGGCATCTCGTGGTACACAAAGCTTCTAAAGATTTCAAATGTGACAAGTGCGATTTTGCGACGAACGTTAAGTACGATCTCGCCCAACACCTTTTAATGCACGACATTCCGAAGAATTTTAAATGTGATAGCTGCGATTATGCAACGACATCTAAATCACTTGCGATGAAACATCTCTTAACGCACAAAGCTTCTAAAGATTTTAAATGTGATAGCTGCGAATATGCAACGAATATTAAATACCGTTTCATACAGCATATGTTGTCTCATGTGATAAAACGTGAGGATTGTGAAACAAGTCTCAAGTCTGACTGTAAACAGGAGTTCGCTAGCAACGCGGCCATAGTGTTTAAATGTGACATTTGCGACTACACAACACATTTGAAACGATATTTGGCACAGCATCGTTTAATACACAAAAATTCTGTCGACTTCAAATGTGACCTGTGTGATTACGCGACGAATGCCAAACACAAGCTTAGGAAACATGCAAAAGTACACAATGATTGTAAAGAATTTAAATGTGAGAATTGTGATTATGTAACAAACTATAAGACGTGCCTTAAACAACACATGGGAAGTCATCACACCGATACTGCAAACTCTTAAGAAACCGGTTCGGGCAAATATAAAATTTGTATAGATAATTAGGTAAACTGAGAAAAAAATTGCCTTTTTTTAGCTATAGATAAGATTAATTTTTATGCAAATTGGTAAGTAGCAACTTTGAAAAGATTAGTTGTTACGAAAGTGTTGCTTGTAATTTAAATGAGTGATTTGTAAGCTCTTATTCAGCATCTTCAATAGGCAACTACTTAACGTTTGTCAAGTTTTTGTTTAACTTCGTATGGATACAATTGTTTTTGTTATTTACTAGAATGCATTTTGTCTTGTTAATTAAGTAATTTCATCTGTATATTGTAAGAAATAAATAATATGCTTGATGTGTCTATATCCCTTTAAATACCCTGTATATTTCAACGTCGGATGCAACCGGTCAAGTAGTTGGAGCTACGAGTAAAAATAAGAGGAGGGAATATAACGGTGGTGGGAAATAGCATAACGCGCGACGGAAGTCGTCAAAATATCACTTCCTTTGCGCTGGTCAGTTATGTCGACTTGACTTATGATAAAACAGAACAGACGATGTCACACAACACTTCCAATAATGACGCGTTTCTCCCCACTCTTCTCGCAATTTTATCACTTCCTTTTTGTCATTTCCCCTTTTAATGCAAGGTTCTCTCCTTTTATTTTTTACTCGTAGAGTTGGAGATTCTAGGGACATGAGCCACCGCCATCACCACCTGTCGATATTTTTTTGCTTGGATAGGTTCCCGTGAAGGTACATTTTGGCCGACATTATTTGACATATGAAAACGCGGATCCTGTCACTGTCAGTTTTCCACCAAATTCAAATTTTTTATATTTGCCATTTTAAAGTACTTAATAATTTCGGATCGGTTTGTGCTCTGGTTTATATAAATAACTCACTGCCGCATGGTGTTTTTATCACACGCAATTTTGTGAATTGAGAATGATTAGCTGCGTATCATGCAAAATTTCTCATAAAGGGAAGAAACAGGGCATTTCCTTTCATCAGTAAGACATGTCATTTATCATGTTGTAGGCGAGGTTGTAGGTACCTAGTTTATGTTTCTTAGTTTTCCAAACGAACCGGTACTTCGAGCAAAATGGTTACCTAACATTTGTAAATATAATCTCAAGAACAGCTCTCGAAATTTGCTTTTGTGCTCACAACGCTTCATTGACTGTGATTTCGACCAAAGGTTGCACCGGAAAATGTTCATCAAATATGCAGTAGGTACTATCAAAACCTGTTTTTACAGCTAAACGTGTGAGTTTATAATATGGTGTAAGTTTTTTTATGTCTTACTAACCTATAATAGCACATTTTATATCTGTGATACGCGGGCATAAAGTACCACTTTATGCCCTAGGGCATTAAGTATCACCATAGTAACTCATTTATACTTAATGACAAAACAAACAAATATTTGCAAGTAATTGAAAATTAGAAACGTCAATTATTAATTGTCAACACCTACTAAATCACAAGATTGGCCTTATTTCGTATAGTTTCTGGAACTTCTTGCTCATTCACAATGAATTGAATTATTTAAAATTACGTTTGACGTTTGGATGGTTTCAATCACATTAACAAATTCGAACCACGCATACTCGATCAAACATAATGAATTATTTTGTAAACGAATTTTGACGAAGAAAACTATTTGTAAAACATAAAATTGTGTATGTACCACGGGCATAAACTGATGTCTATACTCTCGGGCAACTAAAAAGCTCTCGGGCCATAGGCCCTCGAGCTTTTTAACTCGTCGCCCTCTTGAATATAAACATCACCATTATGCCCTTAATACATAAATAACTATTACGTGTGCGGATACATTTTGAGACTAATAAACAATAAATTATTATTGAATCTCTCTGCCGTTGTAATGAACCTGAGACCAACCAATCAATTGTAGCTATTGATCAACACAGTGAATTTAATGGGAGTTGTCAAGTTGTAGTGGATATAGTAAACTGGCCTTAATTATACTACTGGAACACATCGATGTATATTTAGATTTGTAATCAATGATTATATTAAATCTGCATACTATCCCATCCTTGTCTATTTTGTTTACTTCACCATGAGTATGTATTTTACTCCTTCTATACGTTTACTTTGTTATTATTCCTATTAGTGGAAAGAAAATTATATCTCTACGCCACTGAAGTGAGACGCTAATGATAACGGAAGTGGTGTGGTACTTTAATCACAGACAGAGGCCACTTTTGGTTCCCGTGGTCTACGTCTGGCCAAGCATTTGATTCCCTCCATTAGTTTTCTAACTCAATGTTTTTTTGTAATTTCTGGAGGGTGTTTTGGATTTGGGGGCTTGGCGTCACTTGTTGATTGTTAAAACTTGTTGGTGGTCGGATTATTGCATTTTGAATTGTATTCATAGAGTTTAGCTTTGTTTTTTTGTGTTTGTGCGTAAGATTCAACCACTTTGGTGTCGGTTAAAGTATTTTATGTAGTTTACTTTTATGTACTTATATGAACTGTGCCATTTGTTAAATCAGATATTTTCCATCTACTAATATGTAATTTACAACATGCGAGTTGTTAACTAATATCCATGTGCTTGTGGAAGTCTACGATATTTCAGGATTAGACCACGTTTAACTCAGTTACACGGTGCACGGGGGTGTACACAGTGGCGGTTTCTCAATAAGTGCACATGAGCACGTCCACTCCCAAAAATCATTTTAAAAAAACGAAAACAATAACAATTCTATTTATGTATTTAACATTCTTGCACGTTCGTATCTCGCAATAAAAATAGTTCACTTATCTGTAATGCAAAACCTAACGGGTACACTGACACACCGCTGAACGTGTATTAAGAATTATTCCCATTCCGCCTTCCTGTGCAGTGCACGATTAGCTACGATCTCTGATTCGTTCAAACGCTACGTCGCCTTTCCCCGTGCGCCCCGCGAAGGTCAAAGTTGTAAAGTATAGCAAGAGCACACTCTCATTGTGAACCAGTATTCGCCGGACTGCGAAGTAGAGCGTGTTGATCGTTTCGGTATTATTTAAAGACAATTATTACATTTAATTTACTTAAATTAGAAGATCAAATTAAAATAAAAAATGCGGATCGCCCAAAACCGAGTTTGGAAATATCGAAAATCAATAAAGGAAGTCGGGATTATAAACGATCGTTTAAAATAGACATGTATGAAAAACCTGACTGGTTATGCGGTTGTACTGTAATGATCTTAAGGGGTCAACTAACTTCACTCCGAACACTAAATTCAAATACGGCGGGGAAAAACTAAAAAGATATGGCTACCATGTCCAGCCTTCTCCTCTGCCGGAACAAATGGCTCGTGATCGGATCGCCTAGGACAGAGACCCTACATTTTACTCACCGTCAAGTTGTAACCGTTACACTCGGAATGGGGCTGCTATCGGGAAGGAAAAGAAACAGTCAAATGCGGCCTAAAGTATTTATTGTTACCCAAACAGATTCCCTAATAATTTGGAAATGCAGAAGTCCCTAACGAGTAGGCCTGTGCGAGGGAAGACCTCTGCCAGAGAAACCCTCGACTCGTGTTCGTAGAAGCTAAAGGGGTTGACGTTAATAAACAAGCTAACACGGGGTTTCCTGAAAATAATACAATACTCTTAACAGTACTTGGTAAATAGTAGTCATTACGGCGATATAAAATAGTCATTATTGGGAACAACGGATTGGAACAATACCAGGGGAATAAACTCTTCTAGCTGGCTTAGTCGGTACAACATGAAATAGCAATGACATCCAAACTCGTGTTCCCAAGCGTCAATTATCTCACGATTATACCCAAACTCGGTCACACACACCTTTCAGAAACGGAAGACTGTTAATTATAGTTCCACCCCTGGAACAGGTAACAAGACTGCTCTGGGTTTGCGAGTACAACTTGCCTAAAGCTGAAGGTTCGAAACTAGAGTCGCTTGCCTTGTGGTTTTCTTGCAATTTTATAATTTGATTCGCCGATGGACTCTAGTTTCTCACGGTCGAAAGATTAGTGTCCTCTCATAAATGGTCATTGCACACGTAGAAAATCAACGCTTCTACTCTACAACTAAGCTACTCAACAACTGTGAACACGAATCTGAATAGTCATATAGGCGCCTTCCAAGTTAACATAATAAACACAAATCCGAAGCTTCCCCAGCTAGAGGGTCGCTTTCCCCAAACATTTTGGCAAGATATTTAACACCAGGCATCCCCTTACAAACAAAGTACAAATTGGCAGATATGTGAATATTCGGATTTAAGTACAAATTGCAAAATGATATTATAAATATGAGGGAACACAATTTACATTACATGCAATTAATGAATTAACAAAAACCAATTACATCACCTGATATGAACTCTCGAATTGTAAACTACGGGAACGAAACTCTCTCGAAGGTAGTCAGCAAGCAAGTCCTTCACATTCCAAAAAGGCGCCGAACTTCCTTTCAACAAATAAAAACCCTCTTCACCCCTGAGTCGGAAAACTAACCCACCCCGGAATGGAAATTTCCATCCTATCTAACGGTAAATCCGGCTGTTGTTATTTAGTATCCCTCTTTTCAAAAACCAGGTACCTAACCCTAATTGATTACCAAAAACATTCAAATTCTAAAAATAAAATTCTAGGTATTTTGGTAGTGGCTCCGCTACCGGGAAGGACGGCAGTGTCTGGCTTCTTTGGTTGCGTTCGCAGATTTTGTTTTTGATGTTAAGTATCTAGCCTTTGTCATAAAGGTATGCCCATCTCAGCACCTTTAACAATAGTCTATTGTTTTCCGTGTTTGTTGTTTGGTGATGAGCTCGGTGATGAGGCATCAGAATCGACAAAGAATGGCGTTACAGACTTAGTGCATTTATCCGAAAAAATTGAAAAATATCAATCTTCAAAGCCACATCATATATCTGCTAAATTGAGATTTAATTTATTAGGTAAGTAAGATATAAGGCAGCAGTTAAATAGTGCATACCGTTTGAGTATCGAAAAACGTAATGAGGAAGTAAAAAAGAACAGGTATGTTTTATCCAAAATTATAGACCGTATAAAATTGTGTGGTGCTTTGGAACTTTCTCTCCGCAGCCATCGACAAATCGAGAAAATTCAAATCAATCAAATCAATACGCTTTTTTATGCCATTTAATAGGCCCAAAAAACTTCGTGTTGCGGTGACACTAAAAAAATTTTCGCCTCCGGCTTTTTGCCTGTGGCCCCATTTTTAAATTGTGCACCCCCAAGACACACCACTACGCGCCGCCACTGGGTGTACCTGTGTAGAACCTCGACTTCTGTGAAGTAGAGCATGCAATGCTAGGTGTATTTAGGGTAGGGTGACTCGTAACATTCGCGAATGTCTGTGCCTTGTTGTGTGTAACTAATGTCTTCCTGCCGTGAGAGGGAGATCGGACGTTAGAATAGAAAGGTATTCTAGAGCTAAGGCACGAAAGGATCCGAGGGCCCTCGAACCTCCAACTTTAGGGACGAAGTGCTGTAACCGAAGGCCGTCCTACCCATGGGCGGCGATCCATCTCTTAACCATCTTCAGTGTTGTGTCGTTAGGTGACCAATGTCAGGGGAGTGTTACGAAGCACAGGTAGTAGTTCCGGAAGTCTGGGTTTTATACCAATGTCATTATGTGGAAACTGAGCATAATTGTGGGCCCCACGAGCACACTGTGCATTGTCATAACTGCCCATTGCTACGTCACAACATGAATAATAGATCTGACATGTTTCTACAAACTTCACACCACTCCATTCGGTATATAATGATATGAATAACTAGTAAGGTGACATATCAATAAATGCATGAATGTGGTGCCCCTAACAATCTTAACTGCGCTACGGGTTAATAGGCAAATATGCCAGCCCAATCCCTAACAATATAACCGTGAAACAGGAGGGCAATCAAGCGAAGACGCTGGCCCAAATCTAACGAATAACCAGGTTCACCACCCAATGACTAACTAGTGTCACGTGTTCTGCTTAGGTGGTTGGTGTAATTTGCTTGTGATTAACATAGTTTGGGTTTTATTCAAGGCCAAGGTTTTTCTCAAGTTGCGCTCTTTTTCTCCTTGGCAGTCTGCTTTTGCGAGCGTGCGGCACCTTTAGGTTTTGCTTGCTTTGCTTTTAATGTACCACATCCAAATTCCCGGGTTTTCAGATTAAGTTTATAATAAATAAACTCGCAGACATTACAGCGTTTTATTTGAGTGTTCCTGCCCGACTGGGTCCCGACTCCCGAGTCATTGGGCCGTATGAATAAAAGTAATATACTTGCAAAATTCAAAGTAAATACTCGTAACTGCCCCTTCATACTGGTCTGTTTAGCATGGTTTCGCAGCGCTGCACTGCGTCCTTTCTTTCTGCTTAGAAGCGCTGCTAAGTCTCCCAGTGCGAAGGAGCACTTACGAGTATTTACTTTGAATTTTGCAAGTATAAGCATTTGCTTACTTTTATTCATACGGCCCATTGTGTTAGCTTCGTGTAACGTAAGGGGGCCCTACATGCATCATCAGCTACAAATGTATAAGGCAATTGTGTATTTTGACCAGGTAAGCATTCATGGGGAGGAAAGTTTAATGTATTATGATCTATTGCCCATTTTAAGGAGGATTCTCTATAAACTCCTCCATCGCTTACTCTACCATTGACACCAATATCAACGTACAGAAATTTGTAAGATGCATCTGCAACTGCAAGAAGCACAATACTGTGATCCCCTTTATAGTTAAAGTAGTATGATCCTGAACTTCGTGGAGGCCTAAAATTTATATGTTTTCCGTCAATGGCACCTAGACATAATGGAAAATTCCAATGTTTTTGAAACTCGGAGGCAATAACTCTCCACTCCAATTCTGTAGTTGGCATCTAAAGCAAAATCAGTAGTACACAAATATGGACATAGTAATGATGTACCTGTAAATATACAGATTTTAATTTTTCACAGATTGCATTACAAACGTCAGGAATTATCAAGCTAATGGTGCTTTCATGTATTCGGGTGGCAAACATTAGAGATCGATAAGTTTCTCCTGTTGCAAGGAATCTTAGAGTTAATGCTAACCTGTAAAACTCAATTAAATTTGAATTAACTTTTTTATATCTCAAACCTTGCTTCAGCAGAAATACTTTCTCTCATGTTAGTGGTTTGTTTCACAATATCACTTCGTATACATTCAAGAAGTTCATCAAAATGTTGTCCACACATTCTAATAAATTGGCGATAAGATTCTGGATCCTCCGTTCGCAATTCTTGTTCTAACATATGTAGAACACCTCTTCCATCTTGCCGCTTTAAAAGCCACTTTTCAGACCATATTCTTCTTTTTTTTTTAGTTTTTTGTTTCAGCTGCTTCATTACACTCCTATTTTTTTGGCATTGGCAAAATTCATAATAAATTGTTGAATTTAAAACAATTAATACCTATAGGTTATGTACAATCTCACACTTCAAACTTTGAGAAGCAAAAGTAACTACATGATTTTGTAGTGTTTTTATTCATACCAACTACCTGAAAATCGTTACTGCGCCGTCTCACGTAATATTTTTGTTCACAGAAATAATTTCATGTAATACAGGTCGGCAATTTGCTTCCTTTTTATTGTAAACAGATTTTTGTGAATAATTTTTTGTAACAAATCTGCTGTAAAAAAAGTTACCGTCTAATACAGGCTTTAGACGATCGGATCACGTGCCATCCTTTTTAACTTTCAGCGGGAACCGTGTTTTGATACTCGGATTGCAACGTTGCCACTTTGCCGTGAAATCTGTCATCTTCACTTCGAGCCTGGGGTGGGTTAAGATCAGTACAAACGTTCTGCCCTTATTCCTTCCAATGTTTCTGTTTTCTATATTTACTGTAGTGTTACCGTAAGATTGCGACAACTCTCTATTCTCTCTCACTCTAAGGCGCTCGTGTGGTGAACTCACCCATTGTTTATTGATTTCTTCTTCTCACCTAATTAATTACTGGTGGCGTGGTGTCACTCTTTTTCAACAAATTCTTACTCAGAAAGTAAGCTCTGAGATCTGGCTCTGTATTGATGTTTAATATCAAAATATACACATTTTTTTATAACATTGTTGTTCGGTATGGATGGAGGTAATGACACACCACTCATTAAAGTCGAACCAAAACAGGAAGAAGAAATCCATTCCTTTCTTCGAGGACACATCCCAGTAAGCAACGAAGTTTTCGTGACAATAAAGGCAGAAATTACCATTAGTACACCATGTTCTAAACCTCATAATGAAAAAGAACAACAACACCTTTTAACTCAGTGTAAAACAGTGTCAAAAGATTTTAAATGTGCTGATTGTGATTATGGGACCAATGTTAAAAGCAACTTAAAACAACATCTGCTAAAACATAAAGTTGCTAAGGATTTTAAATGTTCTGATTGTGATTATGAGACAAATTATAAAAGCACCTTCAAACGACATCTTTTAACACATAAACTATCTAAAGTTTTTAAATGTGCCGATTGTAATTATGAGACAAATGTTAAATGCAGTTTCAAACAACATATTTTAAAACATAAGGTTTCTAAGGAATTTAAATGTGCTAGTTGTGATTATGGGACAAATAATAAGCACCTCTTCAAACGACATTTTTTAAAACATAAAATATCTAAGCATTTTAAATGTGCTGATTGTGATTACGGAACAAATGTTAAAAACAACTTCAAACAACACGTTTTAATTCACAAAGTTTTTAAAAATTTTAAATGTGCTACTTGTGATTATGGAACCAATAATAAACATCTCTACAAACAACATGTTTTAACACATAACGTTTCTAAGGATTTTAAATGTGCTACTTGTGATTATGGTACAAATAATATATACCACTTCAAACGACATCTTTTAAAACATACAGTTTCTAAGAATTTTAAATGTGCAGATTGTGATTATGGGACAAATGATAAACACGACTTCAAACAACATCTTTTGACACATAAAGTTTTGAAGGATTTCAAATGTGGTAATTGCGATTATGAAACAAACAAAAAATACAACTTTAACCAACATCTTATAAAACATAGAGTTTGTAAGAGTTTTAAATGTGCTGATTGTGATTATGTGACAAATGATAAGTACATCTTCAAACGACATCTTTTAATTCATAACGTTTCTAAAGTTTTTAAATGTACTGTTTGTAAATATGGAACAAATGAAAAACACAACTTAAAACGACATCTTTTAATTCATAACATTTCTAAAGATTTTAAATGTGCCGATTGTGATTATAGGACAAATGTTAAACACTATTTGAAACGACATCAATTAAAACATCGGGTTTCCAAGGATTTTAAATGTGCTCATTGTGATTTCGGGACAAAAAGTAAAGCCCATCTTAAACAGCACCTTTCAAAACATAAAGGAGTCTACGGTTTTTAAATGTGCTAATTGTGATTACAATGTATACTAGGGTTTGTACTCTAGAATTGTAGCCTCCCTTACATTGTTTGTTGCAGTGATATTGAACAGAACTGTAGGATCTCCTAAATATTTTTTAACAAAGCAAATACGTTACTAACGAGTTTTTGATGTGAAGAAGCTAATTTGAGCATGTATCTAAGAATAATAAATTTCGACCAATCGCAAACTTCTATTTTTATCTCGTTTAGCCCCGTAGAAAAACCGAAACTGACATCGAAATTCTCGCAACCCGTCTTCACACTATCCCAAAACCCATCCATTTTTAGCTTCTTTTATAATATACAGTGCTATTTATTAAGAAGTAGACATGGGGATTTACTATGTCTACTTTTAAATGACAATATCTCTCCTGAAAGGCGCTTAATTTTATGCAACCAAAATAGCTTCTTAAAACAAATAAAAGTCTGGCTGTCAGATTAATTTGAATATTGATGAACCAATCTCGACTCGAATCTCAACTATAGACTTCAAATTCCCGCACGAGGGTCAACACTACCTATTTGGGGGAGAGACCTTGCTAACAAAAAACTATTCGACTCAAAATGTTTGTGCGATATGAGTTGGGATTGACTAGTTTCCACATGTTCCATATTTTAAATGTGGAATATGGCCTCCAAGTCCATGAAATTTTTCATTTTCCCGTTACACGTACCAAATTTTACTAGACGTGTGGCACCAAAGACGATTTTGATTGGACGAAGGGATGCGTGTTGATTGGCAGAAACCGTCGAAGCTATAGTTGGACGTAGTGTTTGGAGAAATTAATGTTGTACGGATTAGACCGTGAAATATAGCCGTAGGGAATTGCGCGTTAGGCCACGAGAGCGTTGTGTTCCGCAGTTAGAAAAGTTAATTAAGCCGGGCACCTTCAAAAAGTACAGCAGGGTGGTAATATTTTAGTTAAGTTTAGTTAAAGGATTAATTTCGAAACCGAAACATGGTGTCGTTTGAACTACAGAAATATTAGTGCAAGAGGCGCGTTCATTGAGTTTGAGGGCGACTACGCTAATTCGGACAGTACTAAGTAATTCAAACTTTTGCACTTTCTAATTTTAAATAAGTGGTTGCCACGAAGAAATTGATTGCAGACAGCGGAAGTAATCGCAAAGTTCAACTCCTTGACCCTGAACGGGAAAGTGGACTAAAAATCAACCGCCGGACGTAAGCCAGGCGTCGCATTACGCTACTTGTACGCAGACATCTCATTTTCAATGCCAAACTTGTCTTCCGACGGATTGCGTAAATTTTGCAATCGGGTGAAATCTCCAAAAAAAAATGCATAATATGAATAGATCATCATTTGTAACTACCCAAGTGAAGTAGATGTTTAGCAATAAACATTTTCCGTTAAAATAGTCAGTACAACTTAAAAAATACGTAGATTTATCGTGCATGATTCGCATTACAAAATAATTAACTATTGGCTGTTGCGGAAACCTTTTTGACGGCAGTTGGGGGCTTGGGTTCGCGCCTTTCCAATATCGTGATTGGCGAAAAATCTAAATTTTGAACCTGCAACACACGTTATACTAACGTTAGGGAATTTCTGATCGTTTAACCTGCGGCAAGTACGTTATGACATAGTGACGATAATCCCTAGTTTCCGAAATTGGATTGCCGTGGAACGTAACCGTTCTCAATTGCCTTAACGGCCGCAATCGGAAAACCTCGTCCACATTCTTGATTAGGTTTCCGTGAAAGTACACGATACTCAAATTGGGAAATTTGAGTATGCACTCGTCTATTTCGGTTATGTAATTGAACGAGAAGTCGATCCAGCCGAGCTTGGAGGGATCCTCGAGCGCCGAATTTATCAGCGCGTCCATGTGCCGTATGTTCGGTAGCTTGTTGTTGTTGAGCCACACGGCTCTGGTTAAGTATCGCCGACTCGTGGCGCCGCGGATTGGAATTTGACCGATGCGCTGCGAACGTGGCCCTTCAATCGCCACACCTGCGCAGTGTTAAATTAGTGCCGGTAGTTTCGCTTACAACTCACACCTTCCAAACTGGTGAGGTGCTTGAAGGAGAAGTCGACTGGCTTTCCCACTTCCAGTAGTTGCTTCTCGGTTAGTTTAATTACGCCTTCGGGCATGGTGGAAGCGATTCATAAAAACACTGTCACATCTGAAATTTAGGACAATCGCTTACTGTGATCGTATTGGCTTACTATAATCGTTTTCCCATCTAAATACTTCGTAGGTGGCTATTCGGCAAATCCCACCAGATTTCGGTTGGCAGCTTGTGTAACTAACATGATGTATAGGGTGCTTCGTATCGACAATCATATTCACAGGACGTTGCTAAGGTTGGGGCATCTCAATTAATGGATCATTGCTCCGACTCATTAACTGGAAATGTTCCACACTGTATATATAACACTTATAAGAGCTGCCAACCGTGCGAATTTTTACAAGGCGAAATCTGTCTGCACCGAACAGGAAAATAAACACACTACTCATTTAGATTGATTAGCGACTTCAATTCTTTGTGTATGAACGTGCCTTTTTTAGTGTCTTTAACTGTTTCGTCCGTGGAGAGGTAAATGGCGGGGTGTTAAAATTAGTTAGTGGCATTCATCTCGAAATACAACTTTAGTCTAAGGTTACCGTCTCCAGGACCTTCAGATACCTTCCGGACTGAAGAACGTCCGGCTAATTTACAATGTATTTCATGTACTTTATGTGGAAGATGTTATTTTTCACAAATGGGAAAGGAGTGGAGTTGGTTTGAAGTCTATTTCAGCTGGTCATTCTTTGGTTTATCAAATGTATTACATTAACGTCAGATTCAAATTCAAAACTTGTGTAAAATGTGTGTTTAGTATTTTCCATAGTAACCTACTAGATTACCCCTCAATATTAAATACCTTACCAATCACCAATAGACCATGATAATCTCAATAGGCGCCAGGTGGCAATCGCTACCCACCTTCCAGGTCTTGCAGCTCTTCAAGTGAAATGTAATGCACTCATCTATCATAAAAATTAACATATATATTGGCAATGTAATTAAACGAAATACGAACTGCCCGCTTTACAGTTCAGGCAAAGTATTCCATTTGCGTTCCTATCTGGTAGGTTATGACTATGACTGATCACAAATAGCACATTTAAAATATTTCTTTCTTATGTTTCAAAGGTTTTACTTTTTGTCCCAAAATCATAATTGGTACACCTAAAATCCAATAAACACAATCAGCACATTTCAAATTGTTTTTAAAATCCTTATGGCCGTTTGCACCGACAAATTAAAGTGGAGCTTAGCTTAAGCGTAGCTTAAAATCCATGGCAACGATTATTGAGACAATGGTTGCCATGGATTTTAAGCTCCGCTTAAATTTGTCGGTGCAAACCGGCATTAGAAACCTTATTTTGAAAAGTGTTTTTTCGAGTGTTTTTGAAGAGCAGATTTATAATTTGTCTCATAATCACAATCAGCACATTTAAAGTCCTTAGAAACTGCATGTCTGAAAGAGTGTTTTTTAAGAGCTGATTTATAATTTGTCTTATAATCACAATGTGCACATTTAAAATCCTTAGAAACTTTATGTTTTAAAAAGTGTTTTCTAAGAGCGGATTTATAAATTGTCTCATAATCACAGTCAGGACATTTAAAATCCTTTGAAGCTTTATGTTTTAAAAAGTGGTCTTTAAGAGCTGATTTATAATTCGTCTCATAATCACAATCGGCACATTTAAAATCCTTAGAAACCTTATGTTTTACAAGGTGATTTTTGAAGTTGTGTTTATCATTTGTCCCATAATTACAAATGGTACATTTAAACACTTTAGAAACTTTATGTTTTAAAACGTGTTTTTTAAGAGCGAATTTATAATTCGTTTCATACTCACAATCAGCACATTTAAAATCCTTAAAAACTCTATGTTTTAAGAAGTGTTTTTTAAGAGACGATTTATAATTTGTCTGATAATCACAATCACCACATTTAAAATCCTTAGAAACTTTATGTTTTAATGAGTGCTCTTTAAGAGCGGATTTATAATTTGATTCATAATCACAAACTGCACATTTAAAATGTTTAGAAACTGCATGATTTAACAGATGACTTTTTAGGTTACGTTTAATATTTGTCCCGTAATCACAAGTAGCACATTTAAAAAACTCAGAAACTGTATGTTTTAAAAGATGCCGTCTGAAGTGGCTTTTATTATTTGTCCCATAATTACAAATACCACATTTAAAATCCTTAGAAATTGTATGTTTTAAAAGGTGTTGTTTGAGGCTGCCTTTAACATTTGTCTCATAATCACAATCACCACATTTAAAATCTTTAGAATCTGTTTTGCACCGAGTTAAAAGGTGATGTTGAAAGTCAGAGTGTGGTTGTACTTCTTCATTATAAAGAGATTTAGAACACGATGTACCAATGGTAATTTCGTCCTTTATTGTCACCAAAACTTCGTTGCTTACTGAAACGTGTCCCTGAAGAGAGGAATAGATTACTTCTTCTTGTTTTGGTTCGATTTTAATGAGTGGGGTGTCATTATCTTCATCCATACCTAACAACAATAATGTTATAAATAAATGTGCTAAAATTCTAAAAACCTGTTTTGTTTTACCAAAATTTTATTTTGGAATTAAACAATACAGACCGAGATCCCAAGGCAACTAGACATTACTTACTCACTGATAACAAAACTTACTGAATAGAAGAGGAATAATTCTTGCTCAGTTAACACCACGCCACAATTATTCTTGGTTATAATAGGTGGGTTCGGTAATTTTATCTACTGCGATTGCGTACAACTATGGTAAGCCTATGCGCATGTGTTCGTGACGTCATTGGGATAACTTGGCTCTACCACACAATAAAGTAATGGGGGTTTGTACCTATAGTCCTACCACTTAATAAAAGAGTATCCCCTTGACGGATATGATGAGATTTGTTCAATCTCTCTCAACCGCGTCAAGTTTCTCACATTAAATGACAAAAGTATGACACATTCCTGAAAAGAAACAGAAGCTTGCAAAGCTTGTTTTTACATAGTACTCCGCACACAAACGGTCGATAATACAATTAGAAAATCTTAAAATTACTTACGAATTTTTTTATCTTTTAATAATCTTGAAATCTGGTCGCGAACAGGTATAAACATTATCAGTGACTGCTCTAAGGTTTTTTTGCCTTTATTTTTGAGTGGCCGGGTTTCAGTCAAGGCTGCTCTACCAACCTAACCCACTATACATTTACAAATATCCATGCCCAAACCCGGTTTCGAACCAGGAATCCTTAGCACCACAGTCCAGTTTTAACTGTTGTAAATGATTCATGATATTGTATTTTTTAATTTTATCAAGTGAGTAAAAGTCAATCAATAATATTTTTTAAAATAATAAAATTTGTATCATTCTGCGAAGCCTAAATCTTCTTAAAAGTTATTTTCAACATTTGGCGACCGTGACAGGACAAGGGGTTTGTGTAAAATCTCTCTGCAATAAGATTGTTAACATTTTAGGCTGATTTTTAAACGATTTGTGTATCGTTTTCGTTTGTACGACTATACGCTTTAAAGATATGGATCGGGCAACGAAGTCGCGTTCAGCGGTACGTAGGGCGTTCACGACGATCGCAAATAAGTTGACTGAGATGATAGAAGCAGAATCACCAGACATTAATACCATTCGTGCCAATTTAGAGCTGTTTCATGATAAAGCTGAATCTCTACGACACGCCAATCAAGAGATTTATAACTTGATGTTGGATGCTGACGCTACGGAGGATCAGTTAGATACGGAAATAGCATGTGTAGATAGGTATGAGTTTTCTTTTAAGAGCTTGAATCTGCAATGTGAAGAACTAGTCTCTTCTGCTGTAATTTGTAATAATGGAGCTCATAACGAAACTCAAAGCGTTTGTAGTGAAACAAATAGTAACAAAGGGATCTTTCGCAGAATCAAGCTGCCTACTATTGAATGTAAAAAATTCAATGGTGATATACGTAATTGGTTGTCATTTTGGAGTCAATTTCGTAAGATACACGAGGACAATGTACTCACTAATGAAGATAAATTTCAATATTTGATTCAAGCAATGTCTTCAGGTACTCGTGCAAGTGAATTATTAAATAGTTTTCCTCCCACGGGCGACAATTATACTGAAGCTATTGAAAGTCTAAAGGATCGTTTTGGGAGGAAAGACCTATTAGTTGAAGTCTACGTACGGGAGCTATTAAAAATTATTTTAAATAAGGCATTGTCTCCTAATAAAAAACTAGGTCTGTCTAGTTTATATGATCGTATTGAAACACAATTAAGAGCATTAAGTACTCTTGGAGTGACAACTGATACATGTTCCGCTATGCTATACCCTTTAGTCGAATCTTGTTTGCCAGAAGATTTATTAAGAGCTTGGCAACGATCATCTCAGTTTTCGGGTAATGCTGGTGGAACATTAAAAACAAGATTAGATGCTTTAATGTGTTTTATAAGGTCTGAGGTACAAAATGATGAACGCATTAATTTAGCTGTTGAAGGGTTTTTACCTCAGACAGATAATAAAGACAAGAAACCCAAATTTAAAACGAGTGAGTCGATACCGACTGCAGCAGCTTTACTGTCAGTAAACAGTCTTGCAAAATGTTTGTTTTGCGAAAAAGATCATGCTAGTGAGTCATGCTTTATGGCTCGGAAAATGTTACTGTCGGAGAAACAACACATTTTAAGCAATAAAAGGGCATGCTTTTCTTGTCTAAAATTAGGACATAACAGTAAAAGATGTCGTCAAAGGCTAAAATGCATCATTTGTAATGGTAAGCATGTACCACTCATGTGTTCAAATTTAGCGAGCAATAAAGCTGCTACTTCTGAGAACATTGTGGAAAGAAGTCATCAAACCACCTCTGTTGAAAAAGCATTGTCTAATATTTCAGACACACACGTTTTTTTGCAAACTCTTAAAGTTTTGATCCGTAACGATAATACTATGCGTGAAGTACGCGCTATAGTGGATACTGGTTCTCAACGTTCTTACATTTTAAGATCAACTGCAGAAGAATTAGAGTATCCAGTTAAGAGGCGGGAGAAAATTATTCATACCTTATTTGGAGGTACCAGTACTGATGAGCAAGATCATGCATGTTATGATGTAAGGGTCTTAGATTTGGATCAGAGGTATGCTTTTCGATTCGAAGTTTTAGAACAATCGATTATCTGTGACAATATAATACCAGTCTTTAATGGACCATGGATGAATGAATTAGACAGATTGCAGATAAAAATATCGGATGTTACAATCGCCACTCCGGTGGAGATACTCATAGGCGCAGATGTTGCTGGAAAATTACTAACAGGCAAAAAGTATGATTTAGATTGTGGTCCGGTAGCTGTAGAAACGTATTTGGGTTGGACATTGTTGGGCAAAGTTCCTGTTCTAAACAAGCCGAAAGGCATTACCACAATGTCTGTGACCTCGATGTTATGTAAAGATGTTACCAACACAAAGTTATCGAATTTTAATGTTATCGGCATTGTTGATCATGTTGAAATACAATCTAAAAAAGAGATCAATTTAGCAGTCAACGAGTATTTTTTGGAAACGGTTCAAATAGACGAGGATGGATGGTATGTGGTACAAATGCCATGGAAACAAGGACACCCACCTTTAAGAAAGAATATAGATATCGCTAAAAAACGTATCGAAAGTGTAGCTAAGAAACTACAACGAGATGGTTTATTTGATGACTATGGGGATGTGCTTAAAGAATGGGAACAAATTGGTATTATTGAAGAGGTAACAGAAAGAAACGCAATAAATAATGAAAATGTGTTTTATCTGCCACATCGACCAATAATAAAAGCTAGTAGCACAACTACTAAAATTCGCCCTGTATTTGATGCATCATCACATGAAAAAGGACATCCTTCGTTAAACGACTGTCTGGAAAGGGGTCCAAATTTGATAGAGCAAATTCCTTCTCTCTTGTAAAAGCGCTATTTCTAACTGTATTTCATGCAAGCGTCACTCAGTGAACAAAATGGAACAAGATAGTCCTCCTTTACCTTTTAACAGAGTTCGTGACGCTGCCATATTTGAAGTTATTGGTGTGGACTTAGCTGGACCTTTGATTTTGAAAGAATCTCAAAAAGGTTGGGTATGTGTATTCACTTGTGCCGTGTATCGTGCAGTACATTTTGAACTTGTTACCTCGTTATCGACAAATTGTTTTCTTCAAGCTTTACGCCGATTCATCAGTCGTCGTGGACGCCCTCGTATAGTATATAGTGATTGCGGAACAAATTTTATCGGTTCGCGAAACGCATTATCAAAAATTGACTGGTCCACTATTTTAAAGTATAGTGCAATTAATCGCATAACGTGGTATTTTAACCCACCAACCGCCGCGTGGTAGGGCGGATTTTGGGAAAGAATAATAAGAATTTTGAAATCTTTACTTCGGAGAGTACTGGGCAGAGCTTCCCTGAATTATGAAGAATTGGTATCGGTTTTATGTGATTGTGAAGCTATAGTTAATTCAAGGCCAATCACATATCTATCAGATGAAATCCTGGAACTCTTTCTCCTTAACACCAAATTCTTTTTCCTACCAGAAACAACGGGTATTGGTTGTACCTGAATTGGGATGCCAAGTTGATTCGTCTTCTTTTAAATAAAGCGGGATTGCATATCGTTCAGAAACTTCGGAAATCTTTGTCAAGCGTTTTTAGGAAACAAGAATACTTGGGTCAACTGAAGGTTGTCTTCAAAGGAAATTGAAAAAAATATTCAAAAGTTTCGATTGAATGAAAAATTGTTGCTGATTGGTTAAATGATTCAGAATAAAACGAATAGACTATGGGGCCATTAGAGAATTACAGAAAATATTTCCTGGAAAAGATTCCGTCAAGGTTCGGCTAGTTGCGACTTAAAAACTGCCAAGGGATTGTATTACGTCCAATTTCAAACGACTCTACCCCTCATCGAATGTTCTTGATTCGATTGAAGAGAAACTTATGGACAACAACAAAAAAAGTTCATCGTTTCGGCCATCAGGCTGTGTTACCATTCGGAATTTTGAATGGGTCTTTTTAGAAAATGACATTTGTGATTCTACTAAATTGATGCAAAGGTTACAAAAGCAAGTTGGTAATGAGTCTGTAAGGTACTAAAGTGAGCAGAAGTGGTCTCGAATTATTAAAAACCAGTTTGCGTTTGTCTTTATAATTTATTGTTCACTATGGTTTAGTTTTTCCCAAGGTGGAGGATGTTGTAAAAAATGTTTTCATGATATTGTCATTTTTTAATTATCAAGTGATTAAAAAAAGGTCTGTCAATCAATCATATTTTTTAATAATAAAATTTGTTATCATTCTTGCGAAGCCTAAATTCTTCTTAAAAGTTTTTTCAACCATTAAACTTGAAACTGGCGGCCACACGAGCCAGCGCAACAACAAAAGAAACTCGATAAAGTGCGTGCACTAAGACTGCTTCCTTTCCTTCAAAAGGACAACATTTTCCGTAAAGCGGACAACGCCCTTTAAACTTTAGTTGACTTTTTTCTGTACAGAAAATCTTGGGCGTCATTTTGGATCGGTCGGCCATTTAATTACTAACTCCGCCATTTTGTTGGGCGCCATCTTGGAACCGCCCGCCATGTTATTAGCCACTATTCTAAATCCGCCATTTTATTGGACGCTTGACGCCATCTTGGACCCCCCGCCATTTTGTTGGGAGCGTCACGCTGTATAAAAATTTCTTATTGTCGTTGAACCCACGAAAGCTGAGAGAAAGCCAACGGAGGCCACATGCTTGTCTTAGAAAAAAGTTTAGCAATGACAGAGCCCCCTTGTATATCTCCAAAATGGAATGATAGGTTATCATTCATATTTTCAAAGTTCATTTTTTACAGGTTAGAATGGGGGCAACATGCATGTCTGAGAGAGAGGTTAGCAATGATAGTAGAGCATCCTTACCGGGATTTGGAACCCGTATGAAATATAAGTTCCGGTTCCGCACTTTTTAGGCAGAATTATTTTTTAAGGGTTTCGGTACCGGTTCCGGTTCTGTGGCTTCAGTAATATTCGGCTTCGGTTCCAGTTTTTTTCGGTTTTTAAGGGTTCCATTAAGATAAATAAATAAAATTATTATTAGAAA